CCATGGCCATCAAAGCCACCTCCAAGCTCAAAAATTGTCGGCCACCATCATGCACACATGCCCAAATCTCAGCCATGGATAAAAATCCCAAGGAACAAATTCGGCCATGGACACAAACTTACAACCAAGTTTTGATCTTTTTCCAATATCAAAGATCATACACCAAAACCCATGGATTCTTGAATCAAAATCAAATGCACAAGAGGTCATGAAGAGAGTGCTTACCCAAATTAAAGGGCTTGAAATCCAAGAAGAGCTTAAACTCAATGAAGAAAAGCACAAGTCTTGAACTCAAAAGCCTAGTAAAACCCTAGATCTTAGAGTTGAATTTCGGCCAAGATCTAAAGGAGAAAAAGATGAGGGTTTTTGAGGTTTTAAAGGGGTATGGATATGAGAGATTTAGAACTCTTAAAGAGGAGCAAAGAGGGGTTTGAGAGTTTGAAAAGAAGAAGGAAGAAGAAGAGGGGAGGGAGATGAAAACCCTTGGACAAAAGAATTCATAAAGCCCTTGGACAAAGGCCTTCTCCCTCTCTCTTCCCTTGATCATAGGGCCGGCCCTCTCTCTCTCTCTCTCCTCTATTTTCTCTCTCCTCTCTCTCATGAACTCTCTCTCTCTCTCTCTCTCTCTCTCTCTCTTGCCAAACTGAGATTGCCCCAAGCTCAGAATTCTATCCCGAGCTCAAAATTCTGTCCAGAGATTAAATTTCTATCTCGGGGTCCAAAATGGGGTCCCACGCATTTAAAATACTGTATTTGGTTCATATTCACCTGCTATTAGCCATTGCAGTGTATTCGAAGCCCATATTCACACTCCGATGAGTATATGAGTATCAACTGCATCTCCTTAAACCTCCAACGGGTACACGAGGTTAAACTAATTGCCAAAACTCCCAGGAGTATATGAGTATAAACTGGACCTCCCCGCTCCAACGCCTTAAGACCCTAAGCTGTGTAGACTCCAGTCAACGTACGAGTATAAACTGTGTTTATGCCGGTCAACGCGTAGCCATGGATCAACACCGGTCAACGCGTTGCAATGAAAGTTAATGTCGGTCAATGCGTTACAATAAAGGTCAATGCCGGTCAACACGTAGCCGTGAGTCAACACCGATCAACACTTTGCGATGAAAGTCAATGCGTAGCTGTGGGTCAGCATCGATCAACTCATTTCCATGAAAGTCAACGTCGATCAACGCGTTGCAATGAATGTCAACGACGGTCAACGTGTTGCGATGAAAGTCAACGTGTTACGATGAAAGTCAACATCAGTCAACGCGTAGTCTTAGGTCAACACCAGTCAACCTGTTGCAATGAAGGTCAACGCTGGTCAAAGCACAGCCTTGGGTTAACGTCGGTCAACACATTGCGATGAAAGTCAATGTCAGTCAACGCGTTGCGATGAAGGTCAACACTGGTCAAAACATAGCCATAAGTCAACGCTGATCAACGCATTACGATGAAGGTTAATGCGTCGACAAATTTTAGCTAAAACAAGGCTCAGTTCAATTCTAGAACAAAGGATGATCCCAGGAGTTAATCGTAATTCAGATACGAACCTCCGATGAAGATAATTAGTTTAACGTCAACTCAACGACATGAGCTAAAATTAAAGATCAACACACATGTTTCAATTCGAGACTTCGACAACGGTCAGACGATAAACGCAGTACCGGAAGAACTTCAGATATTTGACAAAATACTGAATAGACTGAGAATTGAAGAAGTCAAGAACTGAAGCCAATTATAGGTCCTTTTACACCGACTGAAGGTTGGGCCTATCACATCCAAAGTATTCCAGGCTCTTCTATAAAAGAAACGAGACTAAAATACTTTGGAGGAGGTATCTGTAGGCGTCAAAAATTGCCTATGGATTCCCGCACGTAGCTCAAGATGGAGAGAAGATGATAAACATCATTATCTGAGTCGAAGAGGATTATCTGATGTTGACAAGCGAATGCAGCGAGTCGACAAAGCGTACGAGTCAACGGGATGGCAGAATAGCAAAAAAACGGTCCAATTGGGAAATGACGTCTCGGCCAAGGCCAATACACGTTTGTGTCTTGGCTAAGGCCGAGACAGTCGGCCAGGGCCGAGACAGTCCAGGCCTGGCCCGGACTGTCCAGGCCTGGCCCGGACTGGCCAGGACTTTCCTGACCTGGCCAGGACTGTCCCGACCCTAAAAAAAGTCGTTTTATGCCTATTTTCTTCCTGTTAACTACCCCGATTCTGATCCAGAGCCTCCCCAACTGATTTGAGGTTATCTACAGACATGGTTAAGTGGTTACAACTAAGGATAAGATCAAATCGTTTATTCTTATTCGAAAATAGGGTTTCTGAAGCCTATAAATACAGCCTTAGGGCCTTCATTTACACAGATCCGGAATTTTGAAGCCTCAGCGAAGCCCTGTCGAATTGAAGAGTGAGGAGCCACAAATTTCAGAGAGGAGGAAGTGATCTTGGTGAGTTCTTTAGCATAAAGAGGAAGAGTTCGAGAGATCTGCATCCGTTCATCCATTTCCTTGAGATCGAACCTAGCTGCGATTCTCGAGAAGAGTGATTATCTCGCTTTGCCGAGATAGTTACTTCAGTTTCTTGTCTCCTTTATGAGGCAACAAAATCTTTATATTGGATCTGATCAGTCGGTGGTCCACAGATAAACCCCGGCACAGGCCAAGACCCCACGCAAACAGCGAGTGATAAACGTCTGTTGTATGTGTTTTCAGAAAGTTGTAATTTTTTTTATTTGTTGAGATCATTGTAACGACTAAAGTTGTGATGAGTCTGTTAATGAAAGAACCAACTTTCCGCTAAAACAGTCTTTGGTTGGTGGTTAGATACAGGTGCTTCCTGTCATGTCTACCCTAACAGAGATTTGTTCTCTTCTTATGTTGTTTCCAAAGAGAACGTATCAATGGTTGATCGTTCTATAGTTCATGTTCTTGGAACTGGGACTGTGGTGCTGACTCTCTCTTCAAGGAAGACTCTCACATTGAAGGATGTGAAACATGTTCCCTCAATTACCAAAAACTTAGTCTCAGGAAGCCTATTGTGTGATGCAGGTATGAGGCTGGATTTCCAAGGAGAAAAGGTTGTGTTATCTTTTAAGAAAATATATTTTAGAAATGCATATTGTACGATGGCATGTATAAGATTAGTACTATCGTACCCAATTCAGTTGTTAATGAAATATCCTCTTCTGCTTACTCCTTTGTGTTATGGCATAATAGACTAGGACATTTAAATTATAGAAATCTGTTTAGCATGGAGTAGTTAGGATTACTTCCAAAATATGGGGGTAACAAACCTGAGAAGTGTGAAGTCTATGCTTAAGCGAAACTGATAAGGAAGCCCTTTCCAAGTGTCACAAGGAGCACTAAACTATTGGATCTAATTCACTCAGATAATTGTGATTTCAAGAGCTTCGTCACTCGAGGCGACATGAAATACTTCATCACCTTCATTGATGACCATTCTCGCTTCTTCCACGTCTATCTACTGAAATCTAAAGATGAAGCATTCAGCAAGTTTATCGAGTTTCGGACTCGTGTGGAGAAGCAGCTTGGACTTCAGGTGAAAAGACTCAGGAGCGACAGAAGAGGAGAGTACCGATCTAAGAAATCGGAAGCATATTTTAAGGATCACGGAATCATTGCTGAAACTACTGCTCCGTATTCTCCGTAATCTAATGGAATTGTAGAAAATTGACCGAGATGGTAAATTCGATGCTAATCACATCTGGTCTGCCTACTTGCTATTGGGAAGAGGCTTTTCTGATGACAAACTGGATTCTGAATAGAGTACCATATTCCAAAACTGATAGTACTCCTCATCAGTTATGGTTCGGATTTCCAGATTCTTTGGATAGTCTCAAAGTGTGGGGCTGTCTCGCATATGTTCGAGTTTCAGATATCAGAAGACATAAGCTCGGACCAAAGGCTAACAAATGTGTGTTTCTTGGCTTTGCTGAAGACATCAATGCTTACAGATTCCTAGACTTTAGAACCAGCTCCGTCATTGAAGCTCGGGATGCATAATTCTTTGAGGATAAGTTTATCAAGAATAAAGGTTTATTGCTCAAACATATAGCAGAGAATGCTAGTACATCAGATGACCAGAGGTGCCAGTTTTAAGAGAAACTGAAAGTGTCAATGATGAATAAGTTGCCGAACCATCTTCCAAGTATGTCAGGAGACAAAAAGATTTTGGAGATGACTTCATCACCTATGATGTAGAAAGAGATCCATAAACTTTCTAAAAAACAATGCAGTCAATAGATGTTCTTCTGTGAAAAGAAGCTATAGATGATGAGATGGATTTATTGATCCAAAATCACACTTGGGAGCTAGTGGGTATACCTGAAGGTGCAAGGCCTATCAGTTACAAGTAGATCTTCAAGAAGAAGCTTCATCCTGATGGTACTATTGAGAAGTACAAAGCAAGACTGGTGGCGAAAAGATTCTCTCAGAAAGAAGGAATAGATTTTTTTTGATATCTATGCACTAGTTTGTAGGATCACTACCATCAGAGTACTTATCGCATGGATGACGATAAAAAGGTTTGTCATACATCAAATGGATGTAAAAACTTCCTTTCTCAATGGAGATCTCATAGAAGAGAGCTACATGAAGAAACCAGAAGGACATGATGCTCCAGCTTGTAAAATTTATAAACTAGTTAAGTCTCTATATGAACTTAAGCAGACACCAAAACTCTAGCATGAGAAGTTCGATGGGGTTGTTCGCAACAATGAGTATTAAGTCAGTGAATATGACAAGTGCCTATACATCAAGGTCGCTAAAGAAAAAATGTTGGTTATCTGCCTCTATGTGGATGATATGCTCATCATTGGAAGTGATTTGGAGATAGTAATATCTACCAAGAAATTTCTTTCAGCACAGTTCAGCATGAAGGACCTTGGAACTGCGGACGTGATTCTAAAAATCATAATCATATACTCTGAAGAGGGTATTGGACTGTCCCAATCTCATTATGTTGAGAGCATGCTAAGAAAGTATGGCTACTACGACCTGTCAGAACTGTCAGTGCTGTATGATTACAACAAGAAGCTACGACCAAACACTGGAAGACCAGTAGAGCAGCTAAGGTACTCAAAGATCATTGGGAGTCTTATGTACGCGATGAGCTGTACAAGGCCAGACATAACACTCGATGTAGGAATGCTTAGTAAGTTCACAGGTAATCTTAGAAAGCTTCATTGGGATGTTGTTCAAAGATTGATGAGATACTTGAAAGGACCTACAGGTCTGGGCTTATTCTACAGTGGATATTCGGCTGTAATCGAAGACTATTCAGATGCGAGATGGTGCTTAGAACCAGATGAGTGCAGATATACTGGAGGTTTTGTCTTCATCATGGGTGGAGCTGCCGTCTAGTGGAAGTCTAAGAAGCAGACCATGATTGCACAGGAATCGACGGAATCTGAGTTCTTCGCACTCTATGTTGTAGGAGATAAAGCTGATTAGCTCAGTTATTTTCTCCGAGACCTTCCATTGACAGAATTGCAATGTGCAATTACTATCTATTGTGATAATCAGACGGCGAGTGTTATGACAGCGAACTCGATGTTCAATGGAAAGAAGCGGATCATTCGTCTGAAGCATGGCTATTTGAGAGAACTCATTTGCCAAGGAGTCATCTCTGTGATTGACGTTCGGTATTCAGAGAATGTGGCTGATCCTTTGACTAAGGGTCTAAAAAAGGATATACTCAAAAGGATGTCTGCTAGAATGGGTCTTAACATTTTGTGAGTCTTACAAATACTCATCATGTACATCAAGTTATTAGTTCAAGGCTTACGCTACTAATGATAAGATGATTGGTTCAAAAGTCAAGTAAGACTTGCAAGTAAAATCCTATCATGGTATAGAGGATGGTTGTTAAGACTTAATGAGTCCAAAGTATTTTAGATGGGGGCTGTTGGACAGGTAACATGCCTAAAGGACTCATCGATGATCCTATCATGTAAAAGGGATGACTGTTAAGTCTTAAAGAGTCCAAAGTATTTCGAATACGGGGTATTAGATAGGAAACACGCCTAAAGGACTCACCTAGAATCCTATCATGAGAGATAATGACTCTTAAGCCTTAATGAGTTCAAAGCATCTCGGATGCGGAATGTTTGATAGGAAACATGCCTTAAGAACTCACCTATGCCTGGATGGAGATTTGGTCATCTCCTATGGTGTCTTGTGGAAAGATACGTAGAGCCCTAGCTGAAACCAGGACATACACAGGGCCATAAATCTGCAAGGCTAAGGCAAATGCAAAGGCAAGTGTGGTTTAAAATGAAAACTATCACAAATGAGTTTGATCTTGTATGATCGCAGGATTTTAGACATGTGCTGGTTCAAGTCTCTGCGACACCATGCATCTGTCTTTTATTCAGTTGGTTTAAGGGGGATTCAAGTCCTTACGACATCTACCTTATGCACAACGATTGAAACAACGACATTGTTACACGACAATAGTTTAAAAACTTGTGGGGGATTGTTGGATATTTTTGGTCAAAACCGCTTTTTAAAATTGAGTTATCAAACTATGTATTTATTAACTACTGGTATTTTTTAGAAATTCTTCGTAGCGTAGCGGAAAGTTAAAGTTTTGATATCTCAAAGATCCTATGTTCGAGGTTTGCCAACGGTAAGCTGAGAATTATTTTTATTTAATCAATCCTTCAAAAGTTCTAGTGGGTAGTGGATCGTGGGTCGTGGGCCAATGGGCCGGGGATCGGGGCTAATCGGGCTGAGGCGCTAAGTGACACTTTGTTAGACGTACTTTGCACTTCGCACAAAGGCACGGGGCTAGGTGGCACCCTTTGGCGTCATATTGGCCGCCACGCAGACTCCATCGCAGGCTGCTTCGCAGCATGCAGGCGAGCCTCGCGTTCACAGCTAGGGCAAGCCTCGCGTTCGCAGACCCTCGCGTTCGCGTGAGGCTGGACGCGACCCTCGTGTTGCGCATGATCGCGACCCTTGCGTTCAGACGTTACTGCATGCAACAGTTACAACATTTATGTTATTTGCTATTACAAACATAATTGTCATAAATATCATTATGTTTGTGTCAAATTAAATGTGGATAACCTTTGAGCTGGTCTTAGAGGCCTATATATAGTGCCTCTTGAGGAGCTCTTGGATATATGAAAAAAGTGATATGAAAAATAGAGACGAAAATCTCTTTTGTGCTGCTGTGCTGCTGTATTGCTACTGCAGAATCTGAAAGCGTGCAAGCTTTAATCTGTGCTCAAAGGAACATAGCCCTGAACTGAAAGGTTGTTTAAGATCGAAAGATCTTTTGCCTGAAACGAAAGGTTTTGAGCTGAAATGTTGTTTAAGATAGAAAGATCTTTTGCCTGAACCAAAAGGTTTTGAACTGAAAGGTTGTTTAAGATCGAAAGATCTTTTGCCTGAACCAAAAGGTTTTGAACCGAATTGTTTTAACAGATCGAGAATATCTTTACCTGAACCGAAAGGTTTTGAACCGAAAGATTTGATAGATCGAGGAGATATTTGCCTTATAGATCGAGGAGATTTTGACAGTACCTGGTTGGTGCACGCTAGTATATATTGTACTACTGTTCCTAAAAACAGTTTGGCCTTTGAATCCTTGCACCGGAGTAGGCCAAATATTGCTTTAAACACAGTGTTTCATAAACGTACAACAGTTAAATTTTAAAAAATATAAAATACAACACTTCAACTCTCTAACAGATTTATCTGTTTTATTCCAAATTTAACCACAAGCGCCAACAAACTTTAACCCCTCACTACTCTCCAGGGTTTATAACTTTACGAATTACTAAGCAGAACAATCAGTTTCATAGTTACCAACAGGATCTAAATCCACATCATTTCATAATGCGGATCCTCAATAATCCAAGCTTCAAAAATTAGAAATTAGAAATTCACTAGGTATCTCTAGAGAGCTCCGTACAACTATCACAAACATCATGCTATTTTAACCGTCACTTTCACCCTAACAAAAAGCAAGTCAGTGTCCAAGGACGTATATACACGCCCAGCTTGACGCTAACCAATTACGCACACATGATTGTAACGAGATCAAATGTAAATCCGTGCCACATATTTACAGGTACACTTATTCCTCCCAAAAATACATTGATTTTGTCAGCTCCCCATGCTCCTGCCAAACGCAAGAGAGACCTGAGATCGATGCGTCCGACTAGTTTGTAACCATATCCAATTTCCAGTACAACAAGTTGCACTCAACAATAGCTCGCCCTGCTCCCAAGCACTTCGAATCCTGACAGATTCCGATTTTCTTCATATTGAAATCTTTTCGAACTTGCGCTGTGATTGTTCACATTAGAATCGAAGTATTGAGATGAAAATGGAGGTACTGAATCAAAACCCTGACTCATTTCAGCTAACATCCCTCGCAGCTCTTCTAAGCTGTACTCCCGCTGCTGCAATGCACAAAGTTTGGCAACAGAGAAGATTATTTACTTAAATTTCCCTCAATTGTATTTCATTTCTTATCGAAATCATAACTTTTGAACATAGAGATGGAGATACTAAATCTGGTCTCAAATGAAATCGAAGCTATATACTAAAAGCAGAATTCTTCTACAACCTAATACGCATCTGACTTTATGTGTTAGGTACAGGTTCATATTCCATGGCTTTCTTACTCTATTGAAGGATAAAAATATGACACTTTTAACTTCCATCTTAATTTTAAATGTAAAGTTTCAGTACTAACTTCAATAATTTACATAACAATATGACACTTTAATTCTCTTCTTTCGAATTCTAATTTCAAAATTCCCGAGAGCCTTTTGTTAAAAAGACTTGAGTTATATGTCAAGAAAATGATGAAATATATTAATTGTTAATTATTCAGTAGTGCATATGCCAAAAGCCCTTCATTTTTATCAGCACTGCTTAAAAAAATCATAAAATCCATGATCACTGTTTTTCCCCCCCCAGAAGAATGTCCTCTGCAATGAAGTTATTCATGTTTTCTTGATGTAATATATAGCCTGATATCCATGAAAATAAGTTAGTGAAATCTCAAGCATCAAATTCCATTCATAGTAATGGCTGATTTCTTTTATGAATACATAATTTGCATAAATTAACTTTACCTCTTTTCTCACATTTGCCATCAGGTCCAACATTTCCTGAACAAAATCACAAAACCCCTGCAGGAAAGAAAAGAATTCCTAATTCACAAAAATGGAATACCAGAAATCAAAAAATTACGAAAAGATACACTTATTCACAGGCATTGATCAAATAAAAGCGATGAGTACCTCGACCACCTCATCATCTTCAAACGGATCATAGAGTCCGGCATCATACAACGCTCTCTTCCCCTCATCAGACAACACTAATACCCAACAAAATTAATTAAGAAAATAATAAAAAATAAATAAAACCCAAAATTAACCCAAACCATTAATCTACCTTGATAAGCTTCTTGAATTTGCTGGAACCTCCTCTTCGCCTCCTCCGCCGCCGATGGCGTCTCCCTTCTTGCCCACCTATCTGGATGCCATTTCTGATGCAAAAATTACACAATTTAAGGCCAAATCCTGCAAATTCAGCAATTTCCAGAACTTACGAGGGTTTTGATGCAAAGAACGATACCATAGCTAGCTTCCTGTACGCGCTGCGGATTTCGGAGAATGATGCGTCAGGGCGGATGCCCAGAACGGCGTAGTAGGATTCTGTTTTCATAACCGAAACCGAAACTTAAACCAAGACAGAAACGGAAACATAACAGAGGGACATTCGAGAGGTTAGTCGAGATTTATAGGCTGGCCTAAGGAAGAGAGAGAAAAATATCTGAGATTGTTTGGAGAGAGAAAGGGTCCAGAAACTTCTGGGGAAAATATCGGCTCTCTGTAGAAAATCATATGGACAGCAAGGAAGAGCTTTTCAATACGCAGAGGTTAATGTTATAACGTTCACATCCGGACAGGCTCTAATAATTAGGTAGTACATGGAGAGCATCCAGTTACTCAAATAATCTACCGTTAATATAAGTTTTAGGCTTTTTAATAGGGAGGGTACTACTTTATTTTAAAATAGTTCAAAACCATATGCTTAGGGGCTGTTCAGGTTGGGCCATTATTTTAGGAAACATTCAGTTTTGGAACAAAAAAATAGGTTTTGAGAGGTTTTAGGATTCTAATAACTGTGTTTGTTTTAATTTTTATAAGAAAAGATTTGCTAAAAAGAGAGAAAATAGTGTTATTTTTGAACAGCTCATTTCCTGTCTTTCGGAGTGGAAATGGGCTGCCTGACACACGCTTGCCAGCTCCGCTTTTCCAGACTTTACTTTTTTCTTCACGTGACAAAGTCAGAACTGTACCCCCCATTACCCTCACTGCCTCATCTTCTCATTCCCTCTTCTTCTACCTTTCTCTCATCCGTTTCGTGCTGCTTCATCGAAAAAATCAAGGATATCTGCTACAATCGGTCGCAAATTGATCTACTATGGTAGATTAAAACCTTGATTATCTCCTCGATGAAGCCTAGCTCTTGATTTAAAAAGAAATTTTCTGATTTTTGGGTTATACAAGTTGCTGATTTTCTGATGTTGGGGGTTTTCACGGTTGACAGGGCATAAATGATGTCCAAAAGTTGCAAATACACAACCAATCAAATTATAGTATAAAAGCTATTGATCCCACGAGAGATGTGTTTATAAGAAATAATTAGAATCGGTTCTTATGTTGTGTGCTTGACAATTAGGAGTGATGGACGTGTGTGATTGTGGGGAGATATGAGAATTGTTGTGAATATATACAAGTGACAATAAAATGAGATTGAGAGGAGAGAAGAAAGAATTAAAGGAAAACTAAAAGCAAGAATGAAAAGAAAATTCAAGAAAATAAAGATGGGTTGTATGTCAACAGGTTTTGTGCATCGCCATATAATTGCTCTTGTGCTCTTTCTTTACTCCACCATATCTTACTATAATCGACCCTAAACCCATACGAACTTAAAAACTCATTTTGTATGTCAACAGGTCATATATCCGGTCGGACCTTTGACATGGGTTGTAAATGGGTCACAATGAATTGTCGAGAAGCCCTAAATTAACCTGCATTATTGTCATGCTGCCCACAAGTATGATTGTCCACGAACATTTTGATTTCAAGTCTATTTTCATCTTTAGGTGGAGAAGCAAATAACATCCACGGGCAATTTTTGGTTTCCTTAAACCGACAAAAAAACTCGAATACACTTCGGTTCATTTTTTCCAAACTCGTACTCGAATTTTTTTTGCCATGGAGTTGTATAGCAAGGCCAATCTTAATTCCTTCGCACTTTCAAACCGTTGTCCCTTACCGGTTAACTTCCTCGCCCGATCCGCCTGAACCTGGTCCTCTGCCTCCCTTCGGATCTTTGCCTCGAAAGAAGCAGCAGCAGCAGAGTCTTCTTGACGGAGCGCCTGAAGGGCTTGCATCTCTCTTTCGACAGCACCATGGACGTCCGCGCTTTCAAGCTGCAAACCTTTCAGAGTCGCTTCTTCCTCTAAGAGCTGGGACTTCATTCGGGCAATGGTAGAAACTGAGGCATTGACCTTTGCCTGCAGCACGTGTCGTCGGTTAAGCAAACGCGCAATGAGAGCCCCTTTATTTGATAGGTCCCTCTCTTAAAGTTCTCGCTCCCACGCTCCTCTGACCCGAGCTTGAGCCATGAGCCACTCCACATCTGGTTCCGAGTCTGCACGTAACAAGGCTTTCAGGCACGTCAGACGTAGCTCGAAACCAAGAAGCTTGACCAGACAACACGAGGCCTCTCGAGCCTCACCCGAACGTCTGAGGTCAGCCACACAGTTCATGAGGAAAGGTTTAAAATCTACATAGGTGATAATCATATTTTATTACAATTTTATACCCTCATTATCTATTTTACATGAATAAATATACTACTAATAATTGTTTTTATCTTTAATTGCAGGTTAATGAAGAATAAATCTCAAAACCCTCATCTCTCAACAAAAAGCCCATAATTAATGAAGAAATGAAGCCATGAAGCCCAATGAATTCTTTCAAGTATTTAATGAAGTGATAAATCAAAGCCCAAGCCCAAGAGTCCAAGAAAAGCCCAATGTCCAAAGCCCAAAAGCAAACAACAAGAAGAATCTGCGGACAACAAAAGGAGAAGGGCAGGCATCGATGCCTGCATCGATGGCGGCATCGATGCCTGCATCGATACCGACATCGATGCTGGCTCAAGTTTGATCCAATGGCTCTCATTCACTGATGTTTACTATAAATAGGGGTAGAGAGTGAGGGGTTAGAGGTGTGAAAATTTTTGTAACTCCTTTTGGAGAGGAGGGCTACTCTTAATTGAGAAGGCCTTCCAAAATTGTAACTTTAGTTGCAATTAATAATAATAATTTTTTCACCACTTTAAATTTTTCTCTTCTTCTCTTTATTGGATGATGAAGATGAAGATGAAGATGGAGAATTATTTGAAGGTTTGCATTTCTTTCCTTTTTTTTTATTTCTCTTTTATTGCTTATTAGTTATATTTATTTTCATGCTTGTAATTAGATTTTATTTTTCTTGTTAAATAGCCAAGAGGCTAGAACCCTCTTGCCTTAGATTTATTTCATGCTTATAGAGTAGATTTATTTTCTTGCATTTAATTCTTGCAATTTTATTTTGTAATTAGATTTTGCAATTTATTTTGTAAGTTAGATTTTAATTTCTTGTACTATTCACCTTGAGGCTAGAACCCTCTAGGGTTTAGTTTTTCTTTTTGTTTATTTTTATTTTGTTTGATTCGCCTTTAGGCTAGAACCCTCTAGGGAATCACCCTTTTCTAAGAAGTGGGTTCAATTGTAGATTACCCATATCTATAATTGAATCCACCATCTTTAATTTCTTGTATTTTCTTTTATTTTAGAATTTTGTTCTTCATTCTTGATTTTTTTCTTGATTTTATTCATTTTTTCTTTCTCACCTTATTGATCATACTCATTCTTTTTCAAATCCACTCTCACTTACACTTGCATCTATTTACACACCATTTTCACTATCTCAATCTCTTTATAATCACATTCACTTATCACTCCTATTTGTCACGCACACGAAATAAGAACCAATTTTATATTTTCTCCTACAAAACACCTTCATTGTGGGATCGATATCTTAAATACTATAACTTGACACGGTTGTGCACTTGCAACCTTTTTGGTACATGTTTATGCCGCATCAAGTTTTTGGCGCCGTTGCCGGGGAAGGTGCTTAAGTAGGTTTTAATTATTTTGGTTCTTTAACTTGTGTGTTTTTTGTGAAGGAAACGCTTGGAGCTTGAAGATCGCGGATTGGAGAGCTAGGATTTGAAGATTTGCTTTCAGGTAAGTCCTCTTTCTAGTTTTTAATTCCACCCTTTAGCTACTTCTTCACAATTAGAGACAATTAAGACTTAAAAAAAAAGAGATTTTATTTTTTGCTGACCATAATAAAATTCATCCTCCACTTTGACATTTACTAACAAGATAATAAATTCAAACAAATCCCCCCTTCTCATTTGTTTGATTGTTAACCCTAATTAAAAAAAAAGATTTTTCTTTTCCATCCTTTTTAGTTGCTTTTAATTCATAGGGTTGCATTTCATATAGTTAGTAGGAATTCACCAAGTGATTTGAGCATCTTGATTTGGCACACACTTCAAAATATTTTTAAGGGCAAAACCCCATAATCAAGATAAGGTGAGGGATTTCATCACCCTTTCCTTAACCCAAAAATCACTAATTCCTCACTACACCACCCAAGCCTAATAAAACTCATTAGACGTTGGCCCTAAGGATTCGAGCTCAATAAGGAACAAAGAATCCTTAAGTGAACCGGTTTAAGTTTTTTTGGATTAGTTGATGTCTAAGGCAAGGTTTAGAGGTTGTGTAAAGCGCTCCGCAAGGAACGAGGTACTTAATTGATCTCTGATCACCCTCTAGTACTATCCTTACCTGGCTAACTACCCGGGTAAAACTTTTATCTTTTCACTTTAGGAATTTTTGGTTAGGAGCTAGTCTAGTTGAGTTAGGCTTAACCCTAGAGTTAGAGTGATTGAAAAGTGATTGATTTTGATTTGTTTTAGTTAGGATTTTCCTTTTTCTTAAAAAAAAACTAACTTTTATTTTTCCAAAACAAAAAAAAATTATATAAAAAGTAATTGTTTTTGGTGCATGCAAAACGTGGATTAGGGACAATACACATCAACAAATTCATTTTGAACAAATGGCTAATCCACAAGTTTTTCAAAATTTATGTTATCCCAATAGGATTGAAATTTCCAATGAAGTCCGGGAGTTTGTAGAGAGTCCATATCAGTATTCGGTAAATGATCCATTTTTTCCAACCTACAACCCAGGTTGGGCAAGTTACACAAACATTGCATGGAATCAGGGAAACCACTCCGAAACTCAAAACTTCACTCCCTCTTCGACCCAACATTTTCCTAGGGAAAATACAGTTCCTTTTAATTCTCATCCACAATTTCAACAACCCAGTCTGTCACATCAAAATCAGTCTCCTCATCATCAAGTTGTAACTCACACTCCTCTTGATACAGATCATGATGAACGTCTTAATATTTTGGAAAAAGGTTTTGAAATCATAATTAAGGCCTCCACACTAGCCATGGATATGTTAACTCAAACATCCTACACGATGAACTCCTTTATGCAATCAACCGAACTCATACTTAACTCTAACACTCAAGCTATTGCTAGATTAGAAACCCACATTGATCAACTAGCTAGTGCCATAAGTAAAGAAGAGGAAGGAGAAATTTTGAGTCAACCCGTGGTTAATCCTAAGGACACTCAAATGAATGCACTACAGTCAGGAAAACAGGTCGATAATCAGGAAAGAACACCTTTAAGCCAAATTCTTGTTCCAATTCAT